GTCAGGAGGAGGAGGAGGAGGAGCAGGAGCAGGAGGAGGAGCAGCAGGAGGAGGAGGAGGAGGAGGAGGAGGAGGAGGAAGAGCCGGAGGCGGAGGAGGCTGAGGCTGGCCCCAGGGCGGGTAGCGCCGAGGAGGAGGACGAAGACAAGGAGCCGCGAGCAGAAGGAGGCCGAGGGGCCTGGGGAGGGGCGCTGGCGAAAGCGCGGACGGGCCAGAGGAGAAGGAGGAGCGGTGGCGGATGGAGGCAGAGGAGGCTGAGCGGCGCGGGGGCCGCGCTCGGCCGCGCGCGGTCCGCTCGCTTCGGGGCCCTACTCGGACCCGATGGCCGTGGGGCACACGGGGGAGGAGAAGGAGGAGGAGGAGGAGGAGCAGGAGGAGGTGGAGGAGGAGGACGGGGGAAGAGGATCTGGAGGAGGAGCAGGAGGGGGAGGAGGAGGGGGAGGAGGAGGAGGAGGAGCCTATCCCCATTTGGCGTCGCCCTTACGTTGCTCTATCTGGTCCGCCTGCTGAACGGTGCTTGACTGTCTTGGGATACTTGGCGCCCCAAGGAGTTCCCCGAACCTACGGCCGCCCCACTCGCACCACCTGGCCTCCCAGCGCGCCGCCACGCAGGCCACCCGCGTGCTGTTCGCTCCCGGCGGCGGCGCCGCCGGTTTGCCGCGCGCTGTGGGGCTGGAGGTCCTCGGCGTGAAGGGGGGGGGTCCTTGACAGGGCACTTCGCCCTGTGCTCTCCCCCTCTTCCTCCCCCTCCCTCCCTGGCGGCATCCCGCTCGAGCCGCCATCGAGTACGTAACGTCGTCTGCTCCGCAGCTTCTGAGTTGGGGGCGCCCCGTCGCGTCGGCCGTAAGTGGTTGCAAACGCGTCGTCGGCGCTCTCACCTTTTTGTTCCTCTTCCTATCCCTCCTCTCCTGTGGGTGGAATGAAACGGTTCACACGCGTCTCGCCAAGACCTTGAGTTATCAAAGCACGTCGGACCAAAATGCAAAGTTCAAAGTTGACGGGTTTGGGCGGTAGGCCAAAGCCCAGGAGGGACGAACTGTGGACACCTCAATTTTGGGTTTGGGGGTAATGTCAATTTGTGGTTAACAAAAGCCCCCCCGGGGCTGATGAATACCCCGCGGGGCGCGATACTTTTTTCAATCACGCGCGCCAGGGGGAAGGAAGAGAGAGGAGGGGAAGAGGGGAAGAAGGAGGATAAGAAGGAGGAGGACGAGGAAGAGGAGGAGGAGGAGAGGGAGGAGGAGGAGCAGGAGCAGGAGCAGGAGAAGGAGGACGAGGAGGAGGAGGAAGGAACGGGAGGAGGAGGAGGAGGAGGAGGAGGAAGAGGAGGATGCGAGTGAGGAAAAAGGAGCAGGAGGAGCAGGGTCAGGCAGGGCGGGGGACGGCGGCGACGACGACGACAGAAGGGGGGAGGAGGACTAGCCGCCTTGCTCGGGTCGGACAAAAGGCTGGGGAAGGAAACGGGGGGGGGGGTGCAAAGCCTGGTGCGCGCAGTTTTTTTCGGTCGCTCCGCCGAAGGGCCAGTCCTCGACGCATGGCCGCTTCGGGCGCCAGGAGGCGCTTGGCAAATCGGCGACGTGAGTTGCTTGGCGGATCCCCCCTTTGCTGCGCCCCACTTTCGTCCAGCTCGCCTTGCCCGCAGGCCCGCATCGGTTCGACAGAAGGGGGGGCGCCCTGGCCCGCCCTTGCCTCTAAACACCCCCCCCCCATTGCCCCTCGTTGGCGGCCGGGCGTCGGCGCTAAGCACTGGCGCCGCCCCGTTGATTTTCAATTTGGCGGGCGCCACCCCGCGATTCGCCCGAGCAGGGGAACTACTTTTTTAAAACACGCGCCCCCCACGGATTCGTCAATCACAAACTGACACTAAGGCGTGCGAAGCAAGGGCATTTCGCAGTTGTTGTTGCTATCATGTTGCGTCGCCTTACCGCCATGGGCGTGGACACTTGTTGTCCAGGCACCCTTATTCCACCTGTACCAGGATGGGTTCGCTGCTCGACCAGATCCTTGCAGCCAGAATGCTCGAGGAGAAGGGCGGCTCACGAGGTCGACGCAAGCAAGGGGCCGCCGCAACCGGTGCCGCAGCCACTGGACAAGGACGGCTCGATGCTCCCAGCGCAAGTTCAGCCGCACGGGCGACAAGGAGGAATTCGCAGAGCCGGAGAACATGGACGGGGACTCTGCGCACGACGCCCGTCCTCACTTAGATGGTGCTCGAAATGTCGCCGCGCCAACCCACATCGAAGCTGTCGCAGTGGTCGTCTGAATCGCGGGCGTGAGCCATCAGGCCAGCGGTCAAGGCGCGGGAAAGAGCCGAGGCATGGATCGAGAAGGCGTAGGAGACGCGGCAGCGCAACATGAAGGATAAAAGGTAGAGGTCCAGCTGAAGACCATTCTGTGCGCGGCGATCGCCGGCGTCATCGAAGGAATTTAAGCAAAAAGAATGGCGGCCAGACACAGTAACGCGACGGAGCTCGGCAACATGAACAGTGCGATTGGTGGCTACACGACGAAGAAGTAGGCAGAGGAGCTCGGGCTCGTCAAAATACAGCAGACTTTCGAGGCGACCGAGGCGAATTCCGCGTTCGCGAGCGAACCCGTGTTCGAACCGCTTTGGGCCTGTTTGGAACAGTTTGGGGTGACCAGGAACATGGGCATGGCACCGATGAGCCACCTCGAGCTCACCCTCTGTACGTACCAGGACCGACGGCCTCTTCTACACACGGCAAACCCCAACGGCAGTCACAGCTGTCCGCGCTGGACTCGGCGAGCGATTGCCTCTAATGCTTGGCCACATTGTGCCGAGCACCTTGGAGCAGGGTTACCACTACTGGAGCGCACGACACTACAGGCGAAGTGCGTCCCAGCGGCAGTTCCAGCTGTCGGCTCATCGGCAGGCGTTTGACTTCAATGCGTGGCGATCGGGTGCCGGGCACCTTGGAGCAGGGGCCCCGCGCACGTACGATAGTGGTGACGTAAATCTTCCTGATTGGGCGATTAACTCTGTTGACAATGGCGGGCAGTGTCCAACGGATGGCGAGGACCTGACCCTCTACCTCCTCCTCCTGTTCCTTTTGTTCCTCCTTTTCCTTTTTCTCCTACTCTTCTTTTCTCCACCTTCCAGCGAAAAAAAGATCCCATTCCTTACGTCGAAGAGATTAAAGGGGCATTTGGGGAGTCTGGGGTTCGGGGTCTCTCATTCAAATGCGGCGTTCACTACTCTCACCGAGAAGCCTTCGAAACACTCCGAAAGCTCGAGCAAGTAATGCTGCTAGTAGACACGGCCTACTTCCCCCCTGATGCTGTTTCCCTCACCCCCACCCCGGTTTTGCGGGAGGGCATTCGGACTGGCTGAAGTCCCAAACGTGCGGTTTCGATGTCGATCGACCCCACAGCGAGGTCGTATCAGTTTCGGAGACTTGCCCCGTAAGGTGTTTTATGTTGATATCCCTCTTCTTGTCCCTCTCTTCCTCCTCCTCCTCTTCCACCACCCCCTGGCCCTCCTCCCTCGCCCCCTCTAGAACCCGCTTCGGGGATTACCCGTTAATCTTGGAACGGAGCAGACAAGATTCGCATGGCCTTAGGTTGTCCCCCTCTTCATCTCCCTTCCGCCTTACCCTCCACCTCCTCCTCCTCCTTCTCTTCCTTCTCCTCCTCTCCCTCCTCCTCCGCACGTCGGATCGCAAGGTCCTTATCCTCTTCCTCTTCCCTGTTGCCCCTCTTCGAGACCGTCGTTGACGTTGGGCTCGCGGTCCCTGCTTTATACATCAGTAGATTTACGCGTGAACATGCTCATGCACACGCGCTGGCGTGCTATCACTTTGAGGTGACAATCGGACATGCTGCCTGCCCTCTGAAGACTTCTCTCGCATGTGTGAACTTTTTGCGAGCAGCTCATGCTGCAATCGACATGCAGGTGTGATCGGTACCTGCTGCGCCTCATGGTGCTTGCTGCGTTGCGGCTACCTGCGCTCCTCCTCGTCCCCTTGCCCCCCGTGTTGGCGATACGGTCCATGTGTGTTTCCGCATCAGCGCATTATTTCGGCTTCTGCGCTGGTCACTTCGACCAGTGGGACACGTGCTGCCCGGCTACTCTTTCCAATCGCCTCCCCCTTGTTCCCGACATGTAGCAGGGGATGTGATACGCTGTCGTCTAGTGCAACCGTCTCTGATGGGACAGTCGCAGAAGATGACCGAATCGCATTGTATGTTTGGCCATCCGACCTTGCTAAACTTTGCCCAGTCTTCGGTGGTCTAGCTATGCTTACAGGTTGCAAGCCAGTCGTTGTGCGTGACCCAAGGCGTTGGAAAGGCATAGTGCACGATGGGAACAACGAGCCCTCACGCTGTGATTGCGCAGTTGTTCCTGCTGCACAGCTCTAGAACATGTTGCGGCCAAACACGGCTGGGTGGGCCGGGTTCTGCAGCAGCATTTTGATTAATTGCGGTGAGAGTTTGTTAATTTAGTACTGAATGGGCGGGTTGGGGCAGGACGCAGGTGCAGAAGTGCATGCAAAACATGTGTTACCCACATGTTTCGTGGGGTTATGGTTTTCTTCTTTGCCGCGTCGCACCCGCGTTTCACTCATCTTCCCTTATCCCCCTTTCTCCCTCACCCACGCGCAGCACATGCACGGCATGTACATGAAACGCGCGTGTACATGCAGTCCCTCGCATGCACACGTTCGCATACACGCCATACAACGCCAGTGGACGCCTGGCGTGTTCACTGCGTCATAAGCCCAAGACGTATTCACAACATACTGGTTACCCACATGAGGCACACGTCCACATCCAGCCTGGCACCCAGTACGTGTTGATTCCTCACATCTCCCTCTTCCCCTCCTCATATTCCTCTTCCCCCGCGCTCAACACATGCACGGCGCGTACATGACACACGCGTCTACACAGCCGCACGCATGCACACACTCGCACACACACACACAAACACACCACACAACAAAGCTAGTGGACGCCTGGCGTGTTCACTGCAGAATGCACCCACGTCCAGATACAGTCGCACACGCATCATTCACATGACGCGAACTGGGCGTACATACAGCCGCCCACGCATCATACACATGACGCGCCGCACACCACACCACATGAACGCCACAGGGGGGGATGGGGGGGCGCTTCGGGCTCGCAAAGCGCTGCCACAGGGGGTGCGCTGTGGGTGTGACCGCCATCCGTTTCGAGCTCGCAAGGCGTGGCAGGCGAGGCACATCCTCGACAGTACAGGGGCTGCGCTGTGGGTGGGGGCGCTATCCGTTTCGAACTTGCAAGGCGTGGCAGGCGTGGCACATCCTCGACGCCATAGGGGTGCGCTGTGGGTGGGAGCACTCTCCGTTTCGGGCTCGCAAGGCGTGGCAGGCGTGGTACCTCCTCGACACCACAGGGGGTGCGCTGGGGGATGAGAGTGCTATCCGCTTCGGGCTTGCAAAGCGCGGCAGGCGTGGCATTTCGTCGACGCCATAGGGGGTGCTCTGGGGGTGGGCGCGCTATCCGTTTCTGGTTCGCAAAGCGTGGCAGGGGTGGCACATTCTCGACACCAGGGCGCGTTGTGGGTGGGAGCGCTATCCGTTTCGGGCTCGCAAGGCGTGACAGGCGTGGCAGTTTCTCGACGCCGCAGGGGGTGTGCCCGAGGTGGGGGGGCGCTACCCGTCGTACGTTCGCAAAGC